CGACCTTTGCACTTGGTTGCCACTTGACGTAGGTTGCTAGGCAATTTAAAATTTTGGGTGGAGAATATGAAGCAAAATAATTTTTTTAGGTTTTATATATACAGTTGAATAACCAAAATATCATAAATTACTATATTGATACCACAGAATGCCACTATAATTTATCAAGCTTAGTAACTTATTTGGATCTAAAAAATGATATTTCAAACAGACTAAAGACACAACCTACCTCCTTGAAATCTTCATTTGAAGATGGCATCCTAACACATGAAAATGGCTGAGAAAGCCACTAGGGGGACATTCTGAGCTTTCAAATGGTTATTCATGTGTCATATAATGAAGTAAGTGTATATAAGGGAGTGTTTCCAAAAATAGAAAGAGGTGAGTGGGGTCACTGTGTTTGATTCAGTACAGGAGTGATATCTCAGCAAATAGAAAACATAAGAGGTTTTTATTTTATATTCTAGCTTGTCGATATCGGTAATTTGAGTTCCTAATTCCTAACAAACAAGATGACATGCCCTTTCACCCATGACGCGTCTGGAAATATCCAGTATAAGAAATATCCTAGTCTTTTAAATTCTAAATCACCAATAAGAAAACATCTTTATATAACTTATAATTGAAATCATCAGTATTTGGTGAACCTCCTTTACTGGCGAAACCATGATAGTTAATAAATGAAGTTTTTGTGAGAAGTACAGTTGTCTTTGTTTTCTCCTCATTTCTGTAAAACAGCTTTATAATTTGAGCATGTGAACATTTTGCACAAGAAATGGCTATGTTACATCACACTACCTAGGAATCACCAATGGTCAAAATGTAGTTCTGATTCAATCGATTCCAAAGACTTTATATCAGCTATGGCTGTCATGTGACTTGCCAATTTACATATTCAAAATTGTTTTAATATAACCTACTCAACCCTCTGTAGAAAGGCAAAATTTTTATCATCTGATAAACTAACAGAAAAAATAATATTTCAATAAGTTTTGGTTTATTCTTTATCTTAAATAATTTTTCAACAAAAAATATACATTTATCATAATCAAACATACATCTAATTTGCTTGACTCAAATGTTAAACAAAATCTCGTTAACAGAAACAGCATTCATAATATACATACTAACAAGTACAACAAAGCAGAATACTACAAAAAACATACCTTGATGATCAGCATGGTTATTGCTTGACCTACTACGGGATCGAGTAGGGTTATTGAACATTCTTGTCAAAACATCAGACATCCTCTGCATAAGACTTGCATGAAGAGTGTGAGGTTGCTGTTCAGGCTGAGCTTGCTGTTGACCCTGTTGTTCAGCTTCAATTTAGAAAATATATTTATTAGAAAATTAATAACCTGATTAAATTTAGGCTTATTTATGATATTGTAAAATGTTTTGATATTCTATATTCTATGTAATGAGCTGTTTATAGATATCTTATCAAACTAAAACTGTCAGCAATTAAGTTTGATGTTTTACTGTTCTGTTTACACAATAAAAAATGCATATTTTGAAGTATTTCAATACCTTATTTGTCAGAAAAGATTATTTCATGTAATACATTTAAAAACTGTTTATCATAATGAAAAACATCACGAAAGACAAAGGAACACAAAAAATTTGAAAGATATTGAAAGCAACTCAGAAGCTTGTTAGTTTCAGTAAAAAAGTGTATGGTTTAAAAGCTGAATAACTTTTTTCACAAGCAAGATTTCTACTTCAAAAAAGTACCAAGAACTATTTTCTGTACAGTTATGTATCCAATTTAGTAATTAATTTTGCTCTATAGTTTATATCTGATAAGTAAATCCATCTAACACTTGGATATTGCATCTTTCTAGAATACAAAAAACTGTTTAGTACTTTCATAAATTACTTCAAAATCAAATTTTATAAAATACAGATAGACATGACTTGAACTTAGAGGTTTTCAACACAAAGGAATTTCCTTTGCATTATAAAAGCTTTTAAATCTAAAAATATTTAGTTTTTGCTAAGAAAAATGTATTCTATATTATACAACTAGTGAAAGTACCCAGCTTCGTTTGAGTAATTAGGTTGGTATATTCTAGATGACTATATCATTGTGTGTATTTTGAATCTCTTTTAGCATCCTGCAGGTGGACACAGTCTTTAACTTGAAGTTTCTTTTGGTTTATGCAAATGAATCACAGCCTGTTTCAGTTTTAGCATACATAATGATTCGCCCATTACGATTTTAATGAGGGGGTGCAAGGGGGCCTTGAAACCTTTCAAGTGTAGTGAATATTGGTATGATTTAAAGAAATTAATAAATAAGCCTAAAGTAAAGATATAGTGTGAGATAACCTAGACTAGAGCCAAGTGCATAAAATTTATCATGAAAGTAAAAATATTTATCTAATTTTAAACTTAAATCCTTTCTGAATTAAGTTATTTTCTGTTATGTCACCAATGTTTTTAATAAAAAAAATAAACCTCTTTAGTCAATTGAGACTCTAAATTAAGAAATCAACAAATATTTTCCCATTTTTGTTGTTTATACATTTCATTTTATACTTTCAGTACATAGACCAACAACAATATTAGATTATACTTTTGTTCCTAAGCTACATGACTTAAAAGCCATTGTTAGAATGTATTGTTACTAAAATGCACTGGCTTTTCTATATATTAGAAGTTGTTAATTTAACTGATATACTACAGGGTATACTATAGAGTGGTAGTACGTGCCTCATCATTTTTTATTGGCTATACATCTATAATAAAAGAGCATTTTGTTTGTCTATTATTTCTATTTGCAATATAAGGAACCACTTCTTTTCTATATGGTTTTTTGCTAGCTTGCCTCATTAAAAAGATGCGCATGCGCATGCACACACACATATACATGTCTGTCTGTGATTTCTATTTCTAATATAAGGAACCACTTCTTTTCAATGTGGTTTTTTGCTAGCTTGGCTCATTAAAAAAGATGCACGCACACATGGATAAGTAGTAATACCCAGGGGCATACCCTAGGGGTCCACTTAGTATGGGTGCAAAATTTCAGGTTTCTAGGTTCTTTCCTCTTGGAGCTATGGCGGTCACACATACACCCTTTTATTATTACAGATTCAGAACAGCAATAAGTCTTGATAAATCTGACAATGGTTACTCAAGCATATTAAAAGTTTTTAAGTAAGGAGAAAACTTTTGCTATTGTTTGAAAATACAATATCTTGTATATGCAAATTAACACAAAAATACAATACCCCAATTTGCCCCTGAAGAAGAAAGGCCCCCTTTCAAAAGCACTCAGGTTACAGAGTTTCATATTTTTGTATTAAATTGATTTCTTGAACTCATGTGTTCTTCTAACATCATTAATAATTCTATATGCAAGTTGTGCTTCTAAAATTATTTTCACATAATTTCATATACTTTTTCCTTATCAATTGTTATTGCTAACATGTGCATTCTTTCCTCCACCTTTCTTACAGTATTATTGTAGTACCTAAAATAAAACATTATGTAAATGAATGCACAAAATCACTACAGCTCACAAACAATATTACTTTAAGTTACATTAGTTGCAATAATGACTTACTCCTCAATTCACTTTCAGGTCTAGCATTTGGTCCAGTGTCTGACCAATCACCTCGCACTCTTACTCGTTTCATTGCTGACTGGCTAATTGAGCTTTTGGCACGTGTCTACAAACAGTAAAAATGTAAAAAGTGCACAGATTGTAAGCTGTAGAAATTAATTTTGTACTGTGAACCATCTTTCAATAATTTCTATGTTTTTAAAAACTCTTTAGATAATTGTTTTTTCTTTGTAAAATACTACAAAGTTTAATAATGAGGTTGGTAGTAAGTTAGTACTGAACCAAAGAACAATACAACTTCTGCTTTAATAACGAAGTTGGTAGTAAGTTAGTGCTGAACCAAAGAACAATACAACTTCTACTTTAACAATGAGGTTAGTAGTAAGTTAGTGCTGAACCAAAGAACATACAACTTCTACTTTAATAACGAGGTTAGGAGTAAGTTAGTGCTGAACCAAAGAACAATACAACTTCTACTTTAACAATGAGGTTAGTAGTAAGTTAGTACTGAACCAAAGAACAATACAACTTCTACTTTAACAATGAGGTTGGTAGTAAGTTAGTGCTGAACCAAAGAACATACAACTTCTGCTTTAATAACGAGGTTGGTAGTAAGTTAGTGCTGAACCAAAGAACAATACATCTTTTACTTTAATAATGAGGATTTTAGTAAGTTACTAACAGAAGAAGTAAAAAATCTAAATTATACTTGCAGAAAGTTTGTGATTTAAGACACTGTAACAGAATCTTTATCATTTAATCAAGACATTCAGCAGACCTGATCTTTAAACAAACTTTTATTGGCATTCTGATATTATCTTAGCTGTTTAGAAAGTTCACATAGACCAAACCATCATTTTCAAGGACCTAATTTATGATTTTAATAAAACAAGAACTCCACCAAAATTAAAAAAGAAGTATTACTATACTTTATAAAAAATGCATTAACAGCTGAACAAGATGTTATAGCAACAACAATAAAACCTATGCAATAGTAAAAGCACTTTATGATGAAAAAAAATTATTATGAAACAAGCCATTAAAAGAAATTCTAAAAAACTATACATTACTGAAAAAAGCACTTAAATTTTCATCATTTAAAGTTCTCTCAGTATACTTTAAACATTTCCAGACTTCAGTTTAATAACAAGCAATAAAACCTTGTATCTTTCTCTAAAATACTACAATTTGGCCAGAGCTCAAACATCCTCTAATATATAACAAAAACCAAATATTTATCTAACATATTATTTCAACTTTCCAACAGGTCAACAAGTCAACTTTTACCTGATTCACTGCTGAACATATATGATCATGCCAACCAAGCAAACAAAGCAAGGGTTCACATTGTTTCTAAGACCACAAACAATCTCATGTTCTTGCACACATTAACTCTTTCAGTACAGGGTCGTTCCGACCCTCTGAACATTTTGTGCTTGTTATAGTTTTCATGCTATAACTTTTAAATTAGTAAGTGAATGTCAACGAAATTTGGCAGATTATCAGTAAACATTACAATGCTTTCACACGCAAGATATAAATTTTTTTCTATCAAGTTTTAAGGTTTATAAAGCAATGTTTTTCTCATGTCTTTTTCTTCTTTTTGCATGTTGCCTATCAATCATGCAAAGTAATATTCATTTTAAGATTAAAAGTACTTTTATGTATCAGAAAATTTTCAAATTTCACAAGCAAAATCTTTATGATTTCCAGATAGTTATCAAAAGTTTCTTAAGAAAAACTTTATATTTTATCTGTTATTTTCATAATATGTGTATGGGTTTGGTAGATTTGACTGATCTCGTAACCACCATTAAAAATTAGGAAATAAATATAAGTTATGTCTCTTTCATTCTAGAATGACAACAGATTATAACATAAAAACAAATATTTTTAGACTAAATAGCTTAAA